GGCAGCACAGTGCGCGCACTTAACCGCCAAGCCAGGGGGCCGGCCCTAAGTGTATAATTTAAAACTATAGTTTTTTAAGCCTACAAAACTACAGTATTTTATAGGGGTACTAACATACATTATAAAATGATGGAGAAAAGCACGAGAATGACAACAACCATGTCTAGAACAGTAGTCCCCCCTGAGGTAGGAGTGAAGCAAACGCGTTTGAGGACAGAAGGATGACCATATACTTGATTGTTCAAATTGGGAGATTTTTAAGATTGAAAGGAGGTGCTAAAAATTATTAAATTACATAATTTTTAAAAATATTAACATTGACAAATTATTATTATATAGGTGACCTATGGCTCAAAGAAAAACACGTTCTTTACTAACTTTCTTAAGAAATGAAATTCATGACAATTTTTTTTTTCTGGTGAGGAAGATTGGCCCTGAGCTAACAGACTTTGCCGATATTCCTCTTTTCTTTTCTTTTTTTTTTTTTTTGCTGAGGAAGATTAGCCCTAAGTTAACATCTATGCCTATCTTCCTCCATTTTGTATGTGGGACACCGCCACAGCATGGCTTGATGAGTGGTACGTAGGCCTGCACCCAGCGTCCGAACCCGTGAACCATGGGCCGCCGAAGTGGAGCATGCAAACCCAACCACTGCACTGCTCGACCAGCCCCCATGACTTAATTTTTAATCAAACATGCACTTTCATTTTTTTGAGCTCCTTGCTTCCAAAAAAACAGGTGAATACCCAATGAGTCCCAGGTAAACTAACACACATTGTCATCCAAGGGGAGGGGCGGGCACACAGGAGGCTTCAAAGGTAATGGAGGTACCTTTGAAGGTAATTTCTACCTCTTAAATCTGGGTAGTGGGGACACACAGTTTGCCAACCCTTGCTTTACACATATACATAGTTTATAAATATTCTTTCATATCTGACATTTAATTCAAACTGTTTAAAAGCAAACAAGAGAGGGGCCGGCCCGCTGGCACAAGTGGTTAAGTGCATGTGCTCCACTTCGGTGGCCCGGGGTTTGCCAGTTCGGATCCCGGGTGCACAATGACACACTGCTTGGCAAGCCATGCTGTGGCAGCATACCATATAAAGTGGAGGAAGATGGGCACGGATGTTAGCCCAGGGCCAGTCTTCCTCAGCCAAAAAAAAAAGGAGGATTGGCAGATGTTAGCACAGGGCTGATCTCCTCACAAAAAAATAAATAAATAAATAAAATAAAAGCAAACAAGAGGAGGACATACTTAATATACAAGGTCTCATGTAATATCCATCCTTTAATTTGGGATCTTCAGGTACATACAGGTCTCCACCACACAACACTTTAGCACCCTGTCAAAAAACAAAAAAATGTAAGAAAAATATGATGTATATTTTATGTTAAACATACAACCCTCAAATGCATTTCTGAAATGTTAAGTGTGTCCTGAACAAATGCATATAGCAGTCCTCCCTTATTTGTGGTTTCACTTTCCTTGATTTCAGTTACCCGCAGTCAACTGAGGTCCAAAAATATTAAATAGAAAATTCCAGAAATAAATAATTCATAAGTTTTAAATTGCACACCATTCCGAGCAGCATGATGAAATCTCACACGGTCCTGCTCCATCCCACCCAGGACGTGAATCATCCCTTTGTCCAGAGTATCCACTGTATACGCTACCTGTTCATCAGTCACATAGTAGCCCTCCCGGTTATCAGACCGACTGTCACAGTATAGCAGTGCTTGTGTTCAAGTAACCCTTATTTTACTTAATAATGGCCCCAAAGCACAAATGTAGTGATGATGGAAATTCTGATATACCAAAGAGAAGCCACGAGGTGCTTCTTTTAAGTGAAAAGGTAAAAGTTCTTGACTTCATAAGGAAAGAAAAAAATCACATACTGACGTTGCTAAGATCTATGGTAAGAACGAATGTCCTATCTGTGAAATTATGAAAACGGAAAAAGAAATTCATGCTAGTTGTGCTGTTGCAACTCAGGTATATATAGGAAAAAACTCAGCATTCATAGGGTTTGATACTATCCGCAGTTTCAGGCATCCACTGGGGGTCTCAGAACGTATCCCCCGCGGATAAGGGGAGACTACTGTACTTAGTCTCTCCAGTGCAAGTATAAAGCAGAACACTGCTTAGCACACAGAGAGCCAAGTGGATATTAACATGAAAAGGGCATACTGCAAGGAACTTAGGAGGATTTACCCCAGCTCCTCGCCCCATCCCATCTCCACTTTCTCACCTGCTCCTTTGCCACTTTAATAAATCCAAGGACTCGCTCCAGGTGTGGTCGGTTGATCAGGGGACCCATCCTCGTATCTTCCAGAAGGGGATCTCCAATTTTTATCCTTTGGGTCTGTTTCACCACTTCCTCCGTAAACTTATCAAGAATTTCCTTTTGCACAAATACCCTTGTGCCATTACAACAAACCTAAAGGACAGACAAAAATTTATATGTGTGTAAGGAGGAAAAATGGGAAAGGGGGAAAAACCCAATAGCTTTAAATTTAAAAGAGACAGTATACTTTTTTAAAAGGTTAGTCCCATTTCTCAAAATTATCCCCATACTGAATAGGACCACACGTGTAATTGTGGACTTACCACTCTGCAATCACAAACTGTCTGCCCTTTGAGATAAAAGTTATATCTTTTTGTTTGGTTAAATTTTCTTAAGGCCATTAATAGATCCATATGACCCACAGGACTTCTCCTAGTTCCTCATATCAGCTGCTCAATTTGGCTGCATATTTAGGAGTAGGAAGTGAGAGTGGGAGGGGAGTGAAGCGTAAAAATAGATTAAAAACTGACGGCTTGAGCCTAATAAAAACCCGAAGCACTTCAGAGTCAATGTCTGTCTCTAAAATCACAAATTATGACTATTTAGACCCTTTCATAAACATGAACATAAATACTGTTCAAATGCTATCAGAACAGTAGAATAGAAAAGAAAATCCAGAAATAGATCCAAGAACGCATGGACATTCAGTTTACGGTTAAGGTAGAATCTCAAACCACTGGAGCAAAGATGAACTAGTAACAAATGGTGCTAGAACAACTGGCGGAAAATAAGATACAAATCTCACATCAAACACAAGAATAAACTCTAAATGTTTCAGACATCTAAATACAGAATATCAAACCAGACAATTACCGAAAGAAAATACAGGTGAATTCCTCTATAACCTAGGGGCAGGAAAAGGTTTTCTAACTAGTACTCAAAATCTAGATGCAATGAAAGAAAAAGAATGATGAATTTGACGAAATAAAATCAAAAATCTTTTGCCTGACAAAAACACCCTAAACGAAGCCAAGACAATTGACAAACTGGAAGAAAATATTTGCAATGTGCATCACAGATAAAGGGTAGTATCAGTAATATTTAAATAACTTACAAAAATAGAGGGAAAGTCAAAAATAATAGTATAATACATCAAAAAGTGAACTTTACTATATGTGAACAAGAAAAAGAAAACTTTAAAAAATTGAGAGAAATGACCAGATGTTCAATATAAAACTGGACAAAAAGTATGGACAATGTACATACATACACACACGTAAGTCGTCCTTACACCTAGAAAAGATGTTCAATCTCATTCATAATTACAGAATTGAAATTAAAACTACAATGAAATACCATTTCTTACCTCGCGAGGAAATAGGCACACATATATTGTTAACAGGCAGGAACACAAATTGGTCCAACCCATTTGGAGGAGCATTTGGCACAATCTTACAAAATTACATATGCACTCAATGTCAGTAATCATTAGGGAAATACAAATCACAACCACAGTGAGACACCATTTCACATCCACTATGACAGCTACTATCAAAAAAACAGAAAATAACAAATATTGGCAAGGATGTGGAGAAACAGGAACCCTTGTGCATTGCTGGTGGTAATGTAAAATGATATAGCTGCTGTAGAAAACAGTACAGCAGTTTTTAAAAAAATTAAACACAGAATTACCATATTATCTAGCAATTCCACTTCTGGGTATACAGCCCAAAGTAGTGAAAGCAGGGACTTGAACAGATATTTGTACCCCAATGTTCCTGGCAGCATTATTCACAACAGCTGAAAGACATAATAGCCTAAAATGCCCACTGGTGGATGAATGGATAAAGAAAATGTAGTACACACACACAACCGAATACTATTCTGTCTTAAAACGGAAGGAAATTCTGCTACATGCTACAACATAGATGGACCTTAAAGACATACTGCTAAGTGAAATAAGCCAGACACAAAAGGACAAACACTGTATTATTCCACTTATATGAGGTACCTAGCACAGTCAAATTTATATAGACAGAAAGCAGAATAGTGGTTACCAGCGACTGGGAGAAAGGGAGAACGGGGTTATTGTTTAATGGGTACAGAGTTTCGATCCTGTAGGATGACGAGTTCTGGAGATGTATGGTAGTGATGGCTGCACAACACTGTGAATGTACTTAATACCACGGAACTGTACACTTAAAAATGGTTAACATGGTCAATTTTATGTTATGTATATTTTACGACAAAAAATGGCCACAAAAAATTACATATACATTTACCACTTCTAGGAATTTACTCTGAAAGTATATCGCCAACAATATGAAAATACACATGCATGAGGTTATTCACTGCAGCACTGTTTGTAATCACAAAATACTGGAAACAGCCTCAATGCCCACACAAAAGAGTAGTTGGATAAATTATAACAGCTGCACAATGAATTATACCATGCAGCTGTAAAAAAGAATGAAGAAGTTTTCTACGAAATGAAATGGAGTGATTTACAGGATACAGTAGGTGAAGAAAGCAAAGCACAAAAGAGTGCCTCTAATAGCTATCTTTTGTGAGTAAGAAAGAGGGGAAATAAGAAATATACAAGTACTTGCTCATTTGTGTAAAAAGAAACTCAGGCAGGAAAATCAGAAACAAATTAGGTTGGCTACGTACAGGACGTGGATAGGAATGGTGAGAAGAAAGAGAATGGGATTGGGGTAGAAGGAATGGGGAGGACTGCCATTTCTGTGTGCCTTTTTTGTAAAATTCTGACATTTAGAACCATGTTAGTATTTCACCTAATCAACATAAATAAATTTTTAAAATAAGCCAGGATGGGGGAAAATAAACCCAAAATGAAATACACATAGAAACAAATTTGTTATTTAAAATGAATATCATAACCATATTGCAGGGGTGGCAAAAGAAGAACTAACCCAAGTAACTTATGAACGTAGAATTTTAACTATAGTCATTCACCACATGATGATGTTTCGGTCAACGACAGACCACACATACGACAGTGGTCCCATAAGATTAGTACCATATAGCCTAGGTGTGTAGTAGGCTATACCATCTAGGTTTGTGTAAGTGCACTCTATGATGTTCACACAATGATGAAATCACCTAACGATGCATTTCTCAGAACGTATCCTCGTCGTTAAGCAACGTATGACTGTATACCCCTCAGACTAAAGACAAAAAGAACTGAAAGTCTTTGAACTCTAGTCAGAAGGCTTATTTTTCACAGAGGTGTAGGTTCACAAATCTGAAACTATTATAAATGGGATTGAGCAATTAAATACATATATTGTGGATAATGGAAGCCAAATTTCTGTCAGAGAAGGAAATTATAAACGTGAAAGGGAGGAGGCTAAAATAAACTCTGTAGTATTGGAATGATTGGAAATATCTGTATGAACTTGAGGTTATTAATATAGACAGATACAGAAATAGATGTGTATGGGGGGGTGTGTGTGTGTGTGTTTATCCACGTACATACACATATGCAAACGTATTTCCTAGCTCTGGCCTTTGAGAGGGCCTAGAAGCAGTGATACTCCAGTAGCAATGAATATACCTGGCACCCAGATCTTGGTTTTGAAATACTGTTTACCACCAAATGGAACCAGGGCTCCTTAGAGAAATGGCTGATTCCGAGCTTGGCCAGGAAGAGTACAAGATGTGTCTAGAATACCTTGCTGTTCTAGACATGTGCCAGGAAGTAAAAAAGTGCTCAAAGAATAACGATATATCAAAAGGTCACAGAAAGGCGCTCCCACTAGCAAAATCTGCAATTATTTGAGCATCAAAATAAATAATGATAGTAATGGGTTATAACCCACAGAATAAAATAGGAATCTATGGGTCCATACTGACATAAATAAACTAATGAAAAACAAACAGGGAGAAGGGAAAGTTCTTTCTTACAATAGATAGTGAAATAAATAAATGTAGAAGGAATAACAGAATTGGAAAATCACCATTTGGTGACCACCGTAATAAAAACTGTTTCCAGCAAAAATCATCAAAGGATGTTAAAAGTGGTGGGTGAAAGTTTGATGAGAACAGGATAGTCTCGCACTATCTCCATGATACTTATTAACCACAAAGGAAGAAACAGTAACTTTGCAGTCAAGACACAACCTAAGCAAGTGATCAAAGTTAACACAGACAAAACACTGCTTTTGTGCTGTTTTTGCCAAAAATGCATAACCTGAATCTAATCAAAAGGAAATACCAGACAGACCCAAAATGAGGGATATTCCACAAAATAAATGACCTGTACTCTTCAAAAATTGTCAAGGTTCTGAAAGATAAGAATGACTGAAGAATTGTTCCAGAGTAAAAGAGATTTAAAGAGACATGACACTAAATGTACTGTATCTTCCTGGATTAGATCTCGGACCAGAAAAAAAAACTGTTCTCTCTACTAAATGATATTAGTCAAGCAAATAGGAAAATGTGAATAAGGACTGTGGATTGAGTAATATTACTATGTTAAGTTATTGATTTTACTGAGTGTATTGTGCTTATGTACGAGAATGCGCCTGTTTTCAGGGAATACACATAAGTATTTCAAGGTTAGGAATCTTATGCCTGCAACTTTCAAACAGTTCAGAAAAAATTTAATATGCATGTGTACACATAGACAGATAAACAGAAAGACAAAGTGAATGTGACGAAATGTTAACATTTGAGGAACCTGGTTCAAAGGTTCAAAGGGAATTCACTGTATTATTTGTGCAACTTTTCTGTAAGTCTGCAATTATTTCTAAATAAAAAACTTTAAAACAGGCTGTTGGATGAATGGGTGGAGATTCTTTTTAAACTATTTCCCCAGACAAGTACACACCTCGCCTTGTGTGAGGAAGTTGGCCATCAGTGCCCCCTTCACAGCATTCTCCATATCACAGTCTGAGAAGATGATCAGTGGAGATTTGCCTCCAAGTTCCAAGGTGACAGGCTTGATTCCTTTAGCTGACATCTCTATGATCTTATAGAACAAGAACAAAAGCATTCAGAAGAAGTTTAACACAAATGAGATGACATGCTAGGTTAACTAGACCCTGAGCTTCCACAGTCATCTTGAATTATGAAGCCTTGTTCTTCTCAATACACTCTGCCCTTCGTCTATTTAAAATATTCTTGGGCCGGCCCCGTGGCTTAGCGGTTAAGTGCACACACTCCACTGCTGGCAGCCCGGGTTCGGATCCCGGGCATGCACCAACGCACCGCTTCTCCGGCCATGCTGAGGCCGCGTCCCACATACAGCAACTAGAAGGATGTGCAGCTATGACGTATATACAACTATCTACTGGGGCTTTGGGGGAAAAAAAATAAGAAAAAAATTAATTAATTAATTAATTAAAATATTCTTTTCTGGGACACTAAAGAGAGTCCACAGAACTGCACTTGACATTCTGAAGAGGGAATTCATTTTAAAAATACTGTCAATTCACCTGACAGTCATGGGCAGAAACTCTTTTGAATTACTGTTCCTGTGTTCAAGGCTGCCAGTGCTCAGAGCACAAATTAAGATCAAAACAATGAATCTGAAATAAACTGAGAAAACACTCTTCTTTCTGAGGTGGCTGCTATAGATGAGGTAAGTCATCAAACAAAAGAAGTGGCCGCCTGGGCCCTGCACTCTCAGACACAGGGAGGAAATGATGACTTCCATCCCCACCGGGCCTAACACCAGTCTGCTGCGCCAATCATCCCCAGTGTGTTCCCCTCCCCCCTTCACACTTTTAAAGTACACTTCAGCCCTTTGCCCAATAATACCTATAGACCCCTCCCAGAACAAGGTAGGTAAGATCAGAAGATAAGCCTCCAACACATACTCTGGGTAGGCCTGACACTGCCGTATCTAGATGCCATTTGTGTTAACCTATACTGGGTTTATCTTCACCTTTGTGCCAGTGGGCACACTTCCAGTGAAGGAGACTTTGGCCACATCATGATGCTGACACAGAAACTGGCCTGTGGCAGCCCCTCCTTGCACCACGTTGAAGAGCCCAGGAGGCACACCAGCCTCGGTATAGATTCCAGCCAGCAGCAGTGCAGACACAGGCGTGAAGGGAGAAGGTTTAAAGACCATGGCGTTACCTGGATAAACCCAAGACACAAACACAGAAAGACTTTCTAAGACTGGTGATCCCCTGAGGACAGAGCTAGAGGACAAGTCAAGAACAACTCCAACTGTTTCCTGTCCCCCCATCAAATCCTGGGCCAAAAATGTTACTAATAAGTGAAGGTATCTTGTTCTTCCCACCTTGGTTTCTCTCATTAAACAGACCCCAAGCCACATACTTGCCCGGTCTCAACCACTGACACCTTATGCTTGCACATCTAGACCTTTTCACATGGATCATCCCATTTGGCACTCGCCACAGCAGTATGAAGAAGGTGTGATTAGCCCCATTTTATAAAAGTTGAAACTGAAGACCAGAAAAGTTAACTAATTTGATGAGAGTCCCCAAAGCTAGTGACTTAATTCTACCTCTCCTCTATCACACAGGAATATGCAAAACGAAGAAGAACATGAAGTGGCAAAAAGAAAAAAGCTACGTTTCAGTACAGTGTCATAATAGTAATGCTTTTTTAACCTTACAGTTTTTTTCTGAGATATAATAAATCATCTTTTCCCACAGATTCTTCTCTTTAAATAGGATGAGAAAACTTTTTAAGTCAATCAAACAAAGCTTCTCTGATGGAAATCTTGTTCATCATCTCTCTTAAGACACAAATGAGGGAGGAAGTTTGTCTTCTGCTTTCTAAGAGTCAAACTTCTGGGCTACCTCTACACGGAAGTTCATGTCCAGAATTCTTGCCCAGAAAGGAAGAGAACTTACGAGTAGCACAAATCTAATTCGATTTGACAGTAAAAAAAATAAGACCTCCAATATCAAAATTAATGTTCTCCTCTCCACAAACAAAAATAAATTAGATAAATAAAAACAGGAATATACAGACATGATCTGTGTGCATGACCTACACAGTAAGCTTCCTAAGGGGCAGGGCAGGAATGAAACCATGCCCTCTGAGGCTCTGTATGGCCAACGCAGGCCCCTTCTGATGTGAAATATACGTGTGGGGGGAGAGGGAGGTGAGGGAAGGAGAATGGATGGCTCACCAGTGGAGGAATAATTCATTCTTACCACAAGCTAAAGCTGGAGCAGACTTCCAGCAGGCAATCTGGAAGGGGTAGTTCCACGCTCCTATGCCCACACACACGCCGAGTGGTTCTCTTCTGGTATAACCAAAGGATCCGCCTGGGAGCTGGATATGTTCACCTAAGGGGAAGAGAGGAGTCAAGAAGAATGCAGTACTGCTTTCCTAAGACTTCACCAACCCCTGTACTCCAGTCGAGCAGCCTCCTTGCTGCTCCCAGTACAGCAGGCTCCCCTCGTCTCCACTCTCTTGTTCATTCTAGTCATTCTCACACTGCTTCTGCACATTCTCTCCACATAAAGAATCCTATCTAGCCTTCAAACCCATGTCCATTCAACTTAATATAATTTTCCAAAAATCTACTGAGCGTCCAATAGGTAACCTAGATGAAATGAAATGGAAATGATGGGAGACTCAATAGCAGAAGAGTCTGAGGACCCCAAAACCTCAGACTTCTGGCTCCCCACAGCCCTCCTGGACCCTGCTAAGCCATCCAACATGAACTGTTGTAAACTTCATAAATAGTCAAAGAAAATTTCTTGCTAAATAGGTAAAACTAGTAAATATGATGCACTCACTGATTCTTACAAGAACTGGTTTCTCAACAACTTGGTCTAAAGCTCAGGTACCAGGCTAGGTGCTTCATATACCTTATCTCATTTAAGCCTTATAATAATCAAGGAGATAGGGATTACTATCTCCATTAAATAGGAAAGATAAAGTAACTCCCAGGGTCACCCAAGCAGAGAGTGATGAACCTAGAATTTTAATCCAGGCCTGTCTTAAACCCAAATCTTTACCCTTCACCATTAGGCTTTGCTCTTCTGCCTCCTTGTCAGCTGCTCACAGAAGGCCAGGCGAGGGCTTACCAGCCATGGATCCAGCCAAGCCTGCATAGTACTCCAGGCACTGCCAGGAAACGTCAATGTCCAGGCGGGCCTCGAAGATGGACTTGCCATTGTTGATGGTCTCCATGGTGGCGATGTCATCCCTCCGTTCCTTTGGGTAAAACAGAAGACTAGATTTAAGACGTATTACCATACACCTCAACATATTCAACACTCAAACAGAATACACTGCCCAATTTTAAAAACAGAAACAGCCTGCATTTTAAATGAAAATAAAAGAAATGGTAGGGTTACACTTGGAAGAGAGATAAAAGCTTATTGCTAAACAGCAGCCCTGTTCTCCCTCTCATGTTAATTGTCACGGATTTAAGACCAATACCTCATTTCAAGGTCCGTTAGAAAAGGCGAGTTTTGAGAAATGAATATTATATATGTATATGTGTATAAATATGCATATATATGTGCACATATGCTTTCATGTATACAGTAAGAAAGCACAGTCCTTAGGGAAATTACACACAATAGCCAAACAATTAGCATTTAAGAGCTTATATACATGCATGGCTTTAACTCACCCAAAGAAAAGTCATCACTAAGCAATTTTAATTATCTCAAAATCATAAGATAATTATTTTCTAATGCTCATCAATTCTCTTTTCAAATACTGTTTCCGACTGTAGCCTACACAACTTAGAGACGCTAGAGATGGTCCAGGGAACAACGAAAGGGTTTAGGAAATTAGACCTAAAAGAAAAGCTAAGTAATGCCTCTTTTACCAACGACGACGAAAGAATTGAATGTAAAGAATTAAATATATAAGAAATAGATATTTGCTCTTATGGATCTAATTTAAAATAAATATTAGGGTCAATATCTGAACATACATATAAGATGAATCAAACAATTGACAGGAAGAAGCATTCTCTTCTTAAAACCGATAAGCAGCAAGGCTGACCAGAAGCAAAATGAAATGGCAACAGAAATTAACACAAGCATCTACCCACAGTACAAATCTCAGAAAAGACGGGAGTAGGCAGATAAAAATCAATATGAACTATAGGCAAGGACAGTTTGATAGTGACATTTGGAGATGCTCTATTTCTACAAAGACCAGAGGTATAAAGTGCTTTGATTCATTCATTCCACATTCATTACTAAGGAAAAAAAGTATAGAGCCAGTCTCTGCCTTCAAAGAATTTACTTCTAAAACAGGAAGTTAGTAAGTTCTAAATAAATTACTAAATAGTCATGTTCCTTCAGAAAGGATAATTTTTTCACATTCAAAAGGGGTCTAGGGCCAGCCCCGTGGCTTAGCGGTTAAGTGCGCGCACTCGGCCCGGGTTCGGATCCCGGGTGCGCACCGACGCACCGCTTCTCCGGCCATGCTGAGGCCGCGTCCCACATACAGCAACTAGAAGGATGTTCAACTAGATGTGCAACTATCTACCGGGGCTTTGGGGGGAAGAATAAATAAATAAATAACAGAAAAAAACAAAAGGGGTCTAAATTAAATTGTCTTTTAAACTCAACTCACTTTGTCTTTCCCTGATTCTATACTCACCAAAACAACCCTTTAATAATTAACTTGTTTCCCAGTTATACTGATACCGGAAACAGGGTACTTAGAGGGGAAACAAGCATCAGTTCTTAAACCAGGTATAAATTCTTCCCCATCCTTGAATTTGTTGAGTACGATTAACATGAAACAGTTTTCCAAAGGCGGGATCAACCATGAGCGGCTTAAACTTCATTTCTAGAATGCAAGAGGGGAACTAGAGCCTAAAGAGGAAGTAAGTACCGATTCATTAACCGGCATGAAGAAATTCATGGAACAGTATACTGCATTCCAAACACACGAAGAAATATTAAACTGGCAAAAGTGAAACGCTGCTGGCTTCCATGTGACACAAGATGAAGACAGGAAGTAACAAGTGAGGATCACTGCAAAACCTTGGACTATTTACTAAGAATAGGAAGTTTTATTTTCTTGAGATTTTTTTTTTTCCCTTGGTAAACAATGGATAGGCAATTAGCTTTGAGGACTATTTCAAGGTTTCAACTCTCAGAGAAAATTCAATTGACTGGCTGGTCTCTTGAGATTTTTCCTGTCTCATTCTATCATCCTTTACCTTCACAGAAAAGGTCTTTTGATATATCATAAAAAGATCATTAAAAATGTCCCTGACAAAAACTAACAAGGAGTCCAAGTGGGTCTCTACCAAGTTAATATTGCTTTAGGGAAAATGGGATTCCTTTACCCTCCTGGAATTAGGAGGGCAGAGGGAGAAGGGGTAAAAAATATACATTTCCTGCCCTAATACTACAAGAGCAATCACAGAATAAGATTGTCCACCACACCACGTAGTGCTACAAGTATTTCTTGGGAAACACGTGCCTTGTGTCTAACCCTGTCCTCCTCTATACCACCCTCCTTCACAACGTGACCCAAGCAGGTGTCCACCTGGATAAAAGACAAGAAACAAAGGGCAGGCGCCTGGCCTCCCGCCTTCACTTCACACCCCTCAGCAGGCCCAGTGTCTAGTTTTTATAAGATAGCCATATGAGCAAAGACACACTCATCAGAACCCTGACAAGCCCTAAGCCCCTGCTTGCTTCAAGAGGCAGAGCTGAGTAAGAAAGTCACAGGCTTCAAAGCCTAACAGACCAGCTCTTACACTTCCTAGTGACATAATACCTTAGACAAGCTATTTAACCTTTCTGAGTTTGCTTCCTCATTTGTCAGCTAAGTAAAATAACAGCTACATTTCAAGATGTTTTTGATAATTAAATACAATTATGTATGAAAAGCACTTTGCACATAGCAGAAATTTTTTTAAAAAGGTAACCCACTTGTATTCAGTACTAACTGCATAAAGCCTTACACCTGCTTACAAGCAATAGACAAGCGTTTGTTTCACCTTTGATAACTTCACAACCTTCACTAAGATCCTTTACTCTGGTCTCCCCACCGTCCTGAAGTGTGCTACACATTCTCCTTATATCTAACTCATTTTCCCCTTCGCCCTCAGAGGAGCAACGTGCTATTGGGAGAGAAATAGGGAAAATAATTGTTTTATGGGAGTAATGCTAAATTTCAACAAAGGAGAAAGGTTATCATCAATTATAGTCTAAGGCTCACATCCAACATAATCAATGGAGATTTCAAAAACGAAAAAAGGGAGAGAGGGAGGAAAGAAAGAAGGAAGAAAGGAAGACAGCCAGGCAGGCCATTTGCTCAGGGACATTAAGAGTCTGAAGGGCAAAGAAAGCAACAAACCAATAATAACAATACAACCTATTAAATGCTACAGATATAAGTTTGTGGGGCAAGAGAAACAAAGGAAAAGCACCAAACTCAGCCTAGGAAGGTGAGGGAAAGTTGGCTAAGGATGATGAAGCTGGAGAACCCTCCAAGGAGCACAGTATCACAGCACGTACAAAAGTCTGGGATGTGAGGGAACACACACGGCAGAGGAAGAGGAGCCGGTGGTGCAGGACCACTAGGGCTCATGGTGTGCGAGGAGGTGAAGGAGACGAGGCTGAAGAAACAAGGGTCTGATCCAGAAGGGCCTGATGGGCCATGTAAGGAGGGGTGGGCCATCGGCAGTTTTACCCAGGGAGTGCCGCGATCAAATGTGCACTTTTAGGAAGATCCCTCTGGTGGTGGAGTAAAGACGGACTGACCCAGGGTAGGGCTGAAGGCAAGTGGATATTCTACACACACAATCTTTTCTTTATGTAAATAGTGTTGTCATAGTTTTAAATAACATCTTCTCTCTCCTTTTAAGCCAAACAATAGCTACTCTCATAAGGAGACTCCAAGGGAGAAATGATCGGGGCCTGCCAGTAAGATCTTTATAATCTGGCAAAAGTACCAAAAGACTCAGAGTAAAAAGGAGAACATAAGACTAAAGAACATACAAAAAAAATGTTCATTTTCACTAGGAATCAATGGGCTTCCAGCTAAGGTGGAGTAACAGGGACCAGATTTACCCTGTGCTGTAAGCTACTGAAAACACCAAATACAATACATGAAACAACAATTTTCAGACACTGGACATCAGGCAGCTCAGGACAGTGATCCCTGAAGGAAATAAATGAAGCGAGCCTTACAACTGCTCCATCTTACTGCCTGGAAAGGTCACAGAGCAGCGAGGAAGCCTTAGGTGGGGTGCAGCAGACACCCTGCATTGAGGAGACAGGTTGGGAGATTGGGGAGTGTATGATCATGACAGTCTGCAAGGCTGAGCATGGGGAAGAAGAGAGTTGCACAGAAAGAGAACCGCAGAGGTCCCCGTACTGATCAGCGTGAGGAAACTACCCAAGGCCAAGAAAAGAACTAACCAAGAAGAGAAGGTGAAAAAAGTCCCCAGAACTCACATAGGGCCAGGAATAGTTCATGTTCCACCAGCCAGGTAGAGAAAAACCTCACTAATACACAGAGCATCGGATTAAGTATTCAGAAGGGTACTCAGTAGTGGGGCAAAATTAGCTGCTCTGGGCACACCTAATAAAGGATAAAAAGCAAGCCTCACAAGGATCACACTGATTCCAAGTAACTTCACTGTGTCCCAGAACACAGCTTAAGAATATTTTTTAGGGGCCAGCCCGATGGTGCAGTGATTAAGTTCACATGCTTCACTGAGGGCAGCCCAGGGTTCGCAGGTTCGGATCCCGGGCATGGACCAACACACTGCTTGTCAAGCCATGCTGTGGCGGCATCCCATACAAAGTAGAGGAAGATGGGCACAGATGTTAGCCTAGGGCCAATCTTCCTCAGCAAAAAGAAGAGGACAGGCAATGGATGTTAGCTCAGGGCTAATCTTCCTCACACACACACACAAAAAAAAAACAGAGGAAGATTGGCACAGATGTCAGCTCAGCGAAAATCTTCCTCAAGCAAAAAGAGGAAGACTGGCAACAGATGTTAGCTCAGGGCCAATCTTCCTCACCAAAAACCAAAAAGAATATTTTTTAAAGTACAAGAATATTCAGCAACCAATAACATAAAATTCACGATATCTAGTGATCAAAAATTATCAGGCATGCAAAAAGTAGGAAAGTTATATAACAATTAACCAGGAGGAAAAACAAATCAATAGAAACAGATCCAGAAATGACAGATGACAGAATTAGTATACAAGAAGATTAAACGTTATTATAACTACATTCCATGTGTTCAAGGAGGCAGAGGAAAACCTGAGCATGTTAAGCAGAGACATGGAAGATATAAAAAAAAACACAGAAAGACCCAAGGTGAACTTCTAGAGATGAAAAATACACTGGATGGGATTAACAGCAGATTGGACACTTTGAAGAAAAGACTGGTGAACTTGGGGCATAACAATGGAAATTATACAAAACAAAACAGAGGGAAAAAAACTTGAAAAAAAAAAAAATGAACAGATGGGGCTGGCCTAATGGTACAGTGGTTAAGTTTGCACACTCCACTTTGGCGGCCCAGGGTTCTCGGGTTTGGATCCACGTGGACCTACACACCGCTCATCAAGCCACGCTGTGGTGGCATCCCACACACAAAACAAAGGAAGATCGGCAAGATGTTAGCTCAGGGCCAATCTTCCTCAAGCAAAAAGAGGAAGACTGGCAAGAGATGTTAGCTCAGGGCAATCTTCCTCACCAAAAAAAAAAAAAAAAAAATGAACAGAGCTGGGCCGACCCCGTGGCTTAGCGGTTAAGTGTGCGCGCTCCGCTGCTGGCGGCCCGGGGTTCGGATCCCGGGTGCGCACCGACGCACCGCTTCTCCGGCCGTGTTGAGGCCGCGTCCCACATACATCACCTAGAAGAATGTGCAGCTATGACAAACAACTATCTACTGGGGCTTTGGGGGGAAAATAAATAAATAAATAAAATCTTTAAAAAAAAAAAAAAAAAGAACAGAGCATCAGTGAGCTGTAGGATAGCTTCAAGCAGTTCATTATCTGTGTAATTGGAGGTCCTGAGGGAGAAGAGATAGAAGAGGGGGCAGAAAAAATATCTGAAGAAATAATGGCAAAATTTTTTCCAAATTTAATGAAGCTATAAATTTACAGATTCAAGAAGATCAATAAACCACAAACAAAACAAATGTGAGAAAAACTGCATCAAAAGACATAATAATGAAATTGCTTAAAACCAGTGATAAGAAAAGTCTTAAAAGCAGCCAGAGGGGAAAAACACATTACATACAGAGGAACGAAAATAAGAATGACAGGAGACTTCTCTTCTGAAACAACACAAGCCAGAAGACAGCAGCATAACATCTTTAAAGTACCGAAAGAAAAACTGTCAACCTAGAATTCTATACCTAGAATCCTTTGAAAAATGAAAGCAAAAGACTTTTCTGACATACGAAAGCTGAAAGAACATGCTGAAGAAATTTCTTCAAGCAGCAAAAAAAATGATACTAGATGGAAATCTGGGTCTACTCAGAGAAATGAGGAGCAGTAGAAATGGTAAAAATGTGGGGAAATCTAAAATATTTTTACCTTATTTTAAAATTCTTTAAAAAAAATAATTGCCTGTGTATAGTAAAAAAAATAAAAATAAAAAAATAAAAAGGAAGAGGTAAAGAACTGTAGATCTTGATTAACTAGAAAAATCACTAAAAGAAATACCTGAGGGCTATGACTGTAGGTTGTGGTCAGAGGATGGGATTTGCTCATTATGGAATAATTTTGGGTGAAGGCAGAGCCAGGGCATGAGTATCAGACAGCAGCTTTACAGAAAGGTAGTAATACACCTTTGACTAATAAAATAATATATAGATCTTAAAGGAAATGGGGAGGGGCGAATTAAAAGGAAAAGAAAATATCAGACAGAATCCATTTCAGAGCAAAAAAAATTATTAGATATTATTCAGGATAAAAAAGTCATTTCAGGGCTGGCCCGGTGACGCAAGCGGTTAAGCGCGAGCGCTCT